TAGAAAACATTTTTTGTTATTAAATATTTACAATCCTTAAATGTCTAAGAATAATTATTTTTCTGCTATAGTCATCACAGACTGCATTTCAAGAGCAGCACATTAATGGACCAGAATTAGGAGATGATGAGCTATTTTCTGCACTAAATGATGATATGCCAGAAGGCATGGAAGGTATGGGAGACTTCAACGATATCTTCAATGTATGGCCAGAGCCTGGTGCTGGTGGAGGACAAAGTCCTGGTGGCAGTCCACATCGTCCTGAAGGATCCCCACTGGGTGGAGATGGTGGTGGCTCAGGTTTAGGCAATCATGATGGTCCTGGTAGTCCATTTCCATGTAGCAACACACCAAGAGTAAGTTAAAATTAAATAATAAGTTTTAAAATACTTTATAAATTTCAATTGGCTACATCATTAAATAATAATGCTCTGCTTCTAACTACTTGATGGTAATAGCACATAATGTGTAATTAAATTAAAGTGATATTGTTGTAAATATTTGTACATAATATTTAAGCACGTGAGATCTATACTATTATTTTTAATAATTCAAAGTAACAATAAAATTAAGTCAATAGAAAGGAACTTATGTTAAAAACTTAGCTTTATATGATGTATTTTGTGAAGTTCCTCAATACATAATTCTACAATGTTCTATACCCTATTAAATGTATTTCATAACTATCAGAAAATAAGTATAATGGTTATATTATAAAGTGAATATAAGAATATCGATTGACATCAATAAGATAAAAGTAGTATTTTTTAATTAACGTTTAAATCTTATAAATTAGAATTTTATATTAGAATCAAACATTGGAAATATTGAAATGTAGATTATAATTGAAATTAAGTTAAATACAATTGATTTGAAAATCCAGATTATTATTGCAATGATCATAAAATTTAGAGCAACAATTGTAGTGTAAAATTTTTAATTACTAGGTAGCAGTTGCTGAACAGACAGAAGAAGTTGGTACACTGTTGCAGCAACCACTTGCTCTTGGTTATTTAGTATCTACTGCACCAACAGGACGAATGCCACCTTGGTTTTGGTCAGCTTGCCCTCATCTTGAGGGTATTTGCCCAGTGTTCTTGAAGAATGCCTTACATTTGCATAGTCCAGCAATACAGCAGAATAGTGATGATCTATTACAACAACAAAGTGCACTCACTGCTCATCCATTAGACTCGCAGTATACCACAGATGTGCTCAGGTTTATATTATTGCTTTAATTAACTTCATGTATTTTTTAATTATTATAATTTTTAATGTAATTCGTTTAAAAATCTGGAGTTCAATTTTTTTTTATTCATATTACTGCTATGTTTAGTACTAGCAATGGCAATCTGTGTCATATTTATGAATACTTGAAATTCTTGCTTTGTTGATTTACAACATTAGATAATATATTTATCAATTATTATTATTAATATATTTCAGATATGTGCTGGAGGGATACAATGCATTGTCGTGGCTCGCAGTGGATGCCAATACGAAGGATCGGTTATCCTGCTTGCCAGTACACGTACAAGCGCTCATGCAACTCTACCATGCAGCGGCAGCTCTCGTCTGACCCACACCCTCTCCCTTCGTAGTGCAGTATGTGCACCTCTTTCATGCACTCCTTTACCATACCGTCACTTGGGGCTTTACGAGAGCAACTGGTTTCCTACATCCGTCTTCAAATGTATGTTAGAGACTTTGAGATTCCCTGACTAACTCGGGGAAAACGATCTTTCGACTAGTAGTCGATGAACCTTAAATGCGAAATACCGAGACTTTTTTCCTTACTCGGTTTTTTTTAAATTAATACAATATAGTGAAACAAGTTAAGCCGCGAACGTAGCGTAAACTTGATGATTAGCGAACAAAGTAATTCTTTTTAACGTTTTTCTATTCGTGTAATTCGGCAGGTGAAAAAGAAACATTAATAGATTATACTTTGTGTTTTACCAAAAGTTGCAACAAACAAAAAAAGACAACACAAAATACTATTATTAACGACCACATATTGCCGCATACCAAATGGAGTCTGATGAATGGAAGATAGAATTGCATGTGAGAGGTTGACAGAACGAATGAACATGTGAGAGAACGAAAGAGGAGTAAAAGGAAGAACGTGAGAGAGGAAAGAAGGGAGAACGAGAGAATGCGTGTATAAACAAAAGAAAAGGGGAAACAAAAGAGAGTGCGTTAAAAAAAAGATAACTTGCAATTGCCTCTCTGTCAGTAGATAGTTCAATTACAAATCAGAATCTCTAGAAAATTATGTAACCAAAACGTTTTTAATTGTAAATTGAATTTTGTACAAAGCTTTTATTATTAATAACGACGAAGTAATATAAATAATATTACGTTGTTTTTTAATTTTATATAGATGATATAAATGAAAAAAAGAAGAACGGAGGGAGGCGATGCTTCTTTTTTACAAGTAAAATGCCCTCGCGCGGCACTGGGTCACTGTTATCATGTTTCCTGGACCCGTTAGCGCAATTTTTCGATGCTGTTTGACAAATTTTATTCAAATTAGGTGACCTCTATATATTATACATACATTAATAGTGTAAAATATTGTTTTTAAATAATTTATGAAGTGAGAGACATCGCCGAGATATTAGATAATTGAGAATGAGCGAAGAAAGCGAGAGAGAGAGTAAAAGAGAATGAGAGAAGAGCACAGAGAGGTTTGTTCCCTGCAACTTAGGAAAAAATGATTTAACATAAAAACAAATGAGCAAGCGAACGAAATGAAAAAATAAAAAGACAAGAGAAAAGAATACAGGGCGCGTCTGAATGAAAGCCGATGGTGGCCAATTGCGTCAGTCGCATAGTACAAATATGACTTGTACATAGCAACCCCTAATCCTCTCCCCTTATAAAGTTAATTGGTTAATTTACTCACACACCACACTCACATTGTATCTATAGTATTTATTATCT